CTTTATGAATATCCTTAAAACTGAGTCCTTCTGTCCACGAAAACAGAAAACAGAACGTTGCTTTTCGGTAGTATACCCTCAAGCACGGTCGCCATTTTGACTCCTGAAACCAGGCCCCGAATATGCGCATGCGCGTCTGCTACATAGACTGTCATGAAGCAGGACTGTGCTACTACTTATTGATACATAGGGAAAACTAGTTAAGTCCACTAGAGCTGTTTAACTTCCATTTTGACCTATTCACTGACTCTCCCTCGTATTCTGTGGGGATAATGCAGTGCTTTTTAATGTTAAGGAGCAAGTGGTACACAGTTACCACTGCGGTTTACATGGTTCAAGGTATGGGCAACACGGTTACTCATACCGTACTGTACAAATGAAGGGTTAACTTGTTACTTAATTTTTTCATATGAACACCAAAATGCATACGATTACATATAGACGTAAAAAAGAAACCGCGGTTATACTCGTATTTTGAGGAAATCAATGAAAAGATAAACATTAAACTTCATTATAAACAGGGAAAATTGCCTTCAGAAGGACACACGGCGGTGCATGGCTGTAGTGTCGCCCAATTCGGTCAGTAAATCCACATTAACTGAGCAGAAGCAATTCAGCAGATCCAGGAATGCAGTGACGCGAGCTTTCTCTGCAAGCGTGGGGGGGACTCGTTTATATGCGGACTCTCTCTTGACACTCGACCCCCTCAGCAGGAAACACAAACATCCTTCCACGCCACCTTGCAGCGAAACGGCCGTGAAGCTCCAGCTATTTTTAACATCGCAATCAGACAGGGTCAGGTCAGGTGAGCCCCAAAATTGGAAGTGCGTTGGCGCAAAAACAAAAGAATGCCCTTCCCAAGAATCGTTATTCACAGAGTTATATACTATCTCGAGTTATACTGTTGTCGCGTATTGGGCGTATATCGCGACAAATAACTTCACGATGTATTTTATATAGCGAATTTTATTTCACATTCGCACTTACAATCACCCAAATTACAGATTTACGATTACTGCTATCTGCAGTATCACAAATACTACACTCCAAATGCCACAATACAACTGGCTGGTTGCTGGCTAACTCGGAACTAACTCGGAGGTAGCTCGAGGACTCACTCGGAGGTAGCTCCAGGACTGACTCGTAGGTAGCTCCAGGACTGGCTGTGAATAGCCTTCGCTACTCCTCATGTAGCCTCGATCGGACAATTGTCGTCTGGTGCCGTGTTGCTAGCCACGCTGTCCGGAGTTGTTGACTGCTGCCTAGCAACCGCGATATCCCTCGGTGACGTCACCGCTACGTTACCGTGCGGAGGAGGGGGAGGGGAGCGCTGACTCACCCGCCGCGTCACTGCTGGTGGGGGGGTTCTCCTTTGCGCAACATGTCACACTATACATCAAAGTCAGAGTTACTTTATGAATGGCGGTTTACCGCCAATCAGTTCGTCTTGGCGCCAAGACCCGTAATGCACACGATCACAGTTTCTTTTTTTTCTCTTGCAACTGAACCCCTGCGGTCATAGTCTTTATGTAACGACCTCTCTGACGAGAGGGTGTGGTTTTCCCTTATGAATAGGCTTCGCCTTTTGTCAAGTATACGTATCGCATATATATTATGTTACTGAAAATTTTTCTTTTTTCACTACTCACAAGTTCTCTATCAGTATAGGCTTTGCAAAGCAGATCATGTCTATCTTACTATGTTAGGCTACGACGGCAGCTTGATCACTTGGACGGCCGTAAGCTTGACCACAACCATGCTTAAGCCTCTTATATTTTCTACGTCTGGCTTCGCCTTGTCATATACTGCGATATTCAATACATATAAATATTCCCTCACGCGGATCGAATAGAGAATATGCAATTACAAAATCCACTCTGTATTCTTGCCAACATGTGCAACTGTCGCGATTCTTAAAGCGATGGGTAAGTAATATGGTAAAGATTTTGGATGCGATTCGAATACTCGGTCCCAGTCCTCTTTTTATTGCAGAAGCAAATTATAATTTTCTTATTCGAATATTGTTTCTTTTTTAAAGTAATTAGTTACTGAACGAAAACAATTATATCCCGGGCGAAGAACGGGTTTCTTGCTTATTTACTTATAAAAGTTATAGTTATGAATGATAATTTTCGAAAAAAAAAGGCAGTATAGCACAGTGAGATGGTAAAGAGAAGAGAAAGTCCGGCCTTCGTTTCTAGTATGGAGTTAGAATCTTTTCTATTCGTTTGGGCTGGTAAATTTAAGTTCGTGTCTTACTCTGACGTTGAAATCTCCATCGAATCTTGTTCCGAACTCGATTTTCTGTGATTTTCGTTGCTGCTTAGAGCTTACGAACAAACCAACACCAAGCAGTGGGAACAGAGCATCCGATGTGACATTGTTCATTGGGAATTTTACGACGCTGTATCAAATGAGAAGCCTACACAGCGTCCAATCAAAACGCAACGTTATCACGAACGATAAACAAGAGATAACATGACAAAGGTGCTGACTTATCTTACGATGACGACCAAGCATTCAAGTGAAGGAACTGAGGAAAACAACGACAAATTAGTCCACAACATGGGTGCCCAACCGGCATTTTAACTACATACGGTATGCGTCTCAGAAGTGTTGTCCTGTACGACAGTTCACGTGCAACCACTAAGCTCAATACATCTCATCCGGGAACAGGAGTAATTGCTAAATCCTTACCCATATTGGTCTATCATTGTGGCCAGAAGGCAGTAAGATAACAAAGGAAGGCTTTGATATATTGGGTTTCTGGGCTTTATCCATCGTCCTGGTTTTTAAGATAACAAATAAAAACACGACGTTTCGGAAACTGGATCTGTTTCCGTCCTCAGGTGAAGGAAAAGGGAAACACCTATTCTGTTGGGTCCGTTAGAAAGAGCTAGCCTCAATCACTAGTTCTTCTTTCTATTCCATGCCGTGGGGTCATGGACCTGGTTATGAGTTCGGTTTCGTGGCATAAATTTGTACAGATCTATCTATCCTGGTTCCACGCTTGTATGTGTTTGCAACAATTTGTTATGAATATTTAAAAAAAAAAAGGTCCAGTGATTGAGGCTAGCTCTTTCTAACGGACCCAACAGAATAGGTGTTTCCCTTTTCCTTCACCTGAGGACGGAAACAGATCCAGTTTCCGAAACGTCGTGTTTTTATTTGTTATCTTAAAAACCAGGACGATGGATAAAGTCCAGAAACCCAATATATCAGTGTGTTATACACCATCGTCAGAATCCTATAGTAACTAAAGGAAGGCTTGTTTTATTATTATGCATTTTGATAAATCTGAACTATACTAAAAACTAGCGCAGTCTGTATAGCAACTGGCTACGGGCTGTCGACAGGGTCAAGAATTTTCTTTTATCCACATCGTCCAGACAAGATCTGGAGCCCACCCAGACTCCTAACCAATGGGTACCGGGGGCTCTTTCCCCGGAGGTAAAGCGGCCGGTGCGTGAAGCTGACCACTCACCTGCAACTAGTGCAGAGGTCGAGAAAATATGGTTCTATACATTCACTCCCCCACACGTCTTCATGCCGTAGTGCTCAATCAGGCACAACTTTATATTTACGTTTTTACTAAAAACTTACAAACGAATTATGGTATTCAAGTGTTTATAAAAGAGTATTTCTCAATTAAAAAGCGACGTAAATTATAGGTTATAAATATTTAATGGGATGAATTACATAATAAGAAATTTGGGCAAACACATTGCAACTTAGACTCATATACAGAGCATTACAAGCAAGCCCGCAGTCTGGACACGAAATCAGACATGGGTTCTGAACAAGAGACAACAAACGTTTGGAAATACCTTACAGCAGTGCTGGGATTTGCGGAACTAGGCCACAAAAGGAATGCAGATATAACGTAAAGGTTACAGATTTAAAAAAAAATACAGTGATAGACACATGTGGTTATCAGCAAACGTGAAAGAGAAACATGTTTAAGGAAAGCGCAGAAATAGATTACCAAAGTCAGCGCTGTATTATAAACCCGCTGGCAAAAGAAATAGAGGTCGTTCCAGAAAGAGATGGAAATACCAATTCTTAGATGAGAATTGATGGGACAGGCTTTCAAGCCCTAACAATGCGACTCGTTGGAGAAGAAGAAATTCATTTCGAACAACAAGCCCTACATAATTTCTTGATTGAAGCCTATTATCTTCATTCATGCGACATCATATAATCTGGTAGATATCAATCGAGTTTCGGAGAAACGCACAGCTTCCAAATACTGCTCTCTTGGCTCACTCTTCGACCCTGAAGATGGGGGCTTCTGTCATTCTACAGAGCATCACATCCCAGAAGACAATGCCCTTCATACCTACTGCCAAGAGAACCTCAAACTCCATAAAGCTTACTAATTCTTCTAAATTTAGGTCTTTCCACCCTACACCGAAAGCTGTCAGTGAATTGAAGTTTCAGTCACGTAAGTGCATGGACGTCGTCAATTGTTTAAACACTTTTCTTTCATTTTCTACAAACGAGATTAGGGACAGCGATTCATGCCTGCAGTGGAGGAAGTTACTAATTTTAGATTTTTGCACATTGCGAATATTGGCAGATTTGCTGATATTTCTGAGACACATACTGCCTCCACCGAATATGAAGATGGTATCTCAGAATTGTTGATTTCATTTAACTATTCAAAGGACAATGCTAAATGTCTGTACCATTTAGTTTAACGTTAAAAAAAATAGGAATTTTGGCTACACAGTGTATTAATATGTTTCGTGTGAATCTTGACAATAAATACCGATTAGTTTCCTAAACAGCATTAATCTGTGAATCTTTTTAATTGATACGCGGTGTTTTTGTCGTGCGGTAGGAAATGGATTTTTAAATATTTAGATGAACTTGGGCTTCAGAGGCTTAATGAGCAGAGAGAGCAGTTGTGTCGTTCAGGCAATTATGTTGCTGATGGCAGAGTATCTGGGACAGGAGATGTTATAAAGCAGCATCGGCGGCGCGGACCGGCAGTCCAGCGCGAGATCAGTTCGGGTAACAGACAGTGATGTGACATAGGAGCACACGACAACATGAAGCGGATAACACTGGCTCAAACGGTGAGTATCGCCTCCGACAAACAACACATCAGTGGCTACATCTTCTGTGTGAAGAAATTATGTTTTGGTGGTTATTTAACGACGCTTTCAGTATCTAGGGTGTATAGTGTCGGATGATAGGATGACTGGTGAACTGGGAAAGATTTGGAAGGAAGCGGGCGCGACCTAATCGAGGTAGAATGACAGCTTTTGAATCGAGAGCCAGAAAGTCATGAAAAAACCTGTGTTAAGATAGCTGGTGTCCAACCTGAGATTCGAACCTAACATCGTGAGCATTGCTTCTAGGCCAATCAGTCTGATGCAGCAGTTTTCAGACTAATCAATATTTATGATTTGAAAACTCCATGGTGCTAACTGCAAGGATTACTGGCTTCTGGGCTGTGGAGCAGTACAGACGTAGAAAAGCACTGGAAACGTTTCGGAGGAACCAACTGGCTATATCTTCAGGGTAGAAGACCAAAAAGATTAAGAACAATTCTGAACAAAATTCAGTTTTAGAAAGAATATCTTCTGAGATGTAACGGCATTAATTTCGTTATAAGTTCACCGGCGTTTCGGAAAACCGCACTGCCTCCATCCCCGGTGCTGAAGAGGAAACCAACCAAGAAACTAGCAAGAAGTAGGCAGCTAGAAGGGCCACTCATCACCTGCCTCTTGCTTATTTCTTGCTTGGGTTTATTCTTTGATCCTGATGATGGAGGCAGCATGTTCCTCCGAAACGCCACTGAAATACTATCGGACTACACGGTATTACATCCACGAAGATAGTTTTCTTCATAGTTACTGATGCGAGAATCTCAAATCAAACAAAATTTAACTCGATAAAGAACTTCAATTTTCACCATACTAAACATATGCTAAGACCTAGATGTAGATATGAAGATAATATTAAAAGGATCTTAAAGGCCTAGAGTGGTGACTATATTTATTTGACTTGGAATGGGGACAGGTGGCAGACTTTTGTGAACACTGTAATGAATCTTCAAATTTCATGACCAGGTGACTGGCTAGCATAAACCCAAGATCCATCTTCTGTGAGGCTGCTCCTATGCCAAAGCGCCAATTCATAAAAGCGTATAGAGGGAAAAGAGCCAACGTTTCATGCATGCTTAATCTCAACATAAGACAGAGGCTGGCAGTGGTTAGCTCCGCAATCCAGCCGCGTTACCGTCGATGAAAAGACACCAGTATTCATTGGACAGGAAACTAATAAAAGGGGAAAATGTAAAGCTATCCCTCTAACAGGCCGTGACGGCCCATAGGGTTCTGAGAGGTCAAAGCTCCCACATTTTCTCTTGGCAATCAGCTCACAGATGGCGGTAAAGTTGTCAGCCTTATGTGCCAGCCGCCCTCTACACCCCAGGAAGATTCCTGGTACTCATTTCTATTAGAGGTTGAGTCGACCTCAGGGCCATAGTGAGGCTGGAAGGCTTAGGTAGATTGAAAAAAAATCCACCCCATCGGGCCTGGAAACCGCGACCTTCCGGTTTGTAGCATAGTGCCTTAACCAACTACATTATCACGTGTCCCTGAATAGGAAACCAGTGGAACCCATAAACAACAGGAACATTCTAGCAGCTATCAGGAAAAGAACATCAGTCATTCAGCTCGTGGGCGGACATCGCATACACAGTGCTTCCATCTACAGGTACACATTGTGAATCTCCTCCGGCAAAAGTGGACAATGCGGTACCAATTTAAGCATACCATCTATTGTCTTCACTGTTGTCATCTTTTGATCCTATTCATAAATATTACCATCTCTTACTGCCAACATGTATAAGAGAACAGCAACTGTTAGCCTCTGTACTTGCACTTCTGGAGTTGTGCTTTATTGAAGATACTGTCAGGCATTTACCTCGAAGAACTGAAGACAACCACACATAAACTATGTCATAACAGACTAGTGCTCTGACAAGAGCGAAAACATGTAACCTCTGGAATACAAGTTCCAGTGCCCAGTCACACCATGACATGGAGGGGTCACAGGGTCATTTAGGCTAGTAGTGTAATCAGTGCCTGGGATGACCGGTCAGTCATGACCACAATAAACCTCAAGTTATATCAGTGTTAATGTGCACCATCTTCACACATGTTACTCTTCCTTCTCGTGCCTAGTTACCATTGCTCTTGGCAATTTCCTTACACACATAGCTTCACATTCAGTTTAAGTGCCCAATCTCACTTCCAGCAATTGTCAGAAATGGACAACTTTCAATGTAACACATCCAAAACTATGGAACGTTAGATACCACACTTTCAAAACTATAGAATTGTCAGCGCTACATGTTCACAGTACAGTACTTCAATGTGATATGTTTGAAACTATAGAATTTTCAGCGTGATATACCGCACACTATAGTATTTAAAAAATGTGACACGTCCAGAACTATAGTAATTTCAATATGACATGTTGGGGAAGATATTTCTTAATGTTTTTATGAAGGTGCATCATAGCAAAAGTTAACATTCAGGAAACTGGTTCTACTTTTGCCTTCAAAATAAAAGGAATAAAAACACTGAGGACCTCTTGGAAAGAGCCAGTCTCAATCACCAGACCAGTCACTGACACTAGAATCATGTACTGTGTTTTATTAAAAAACAAATGTGGTGAAAAAGAGGAAAAGTGCACAATGATGCACTTCATAACTTGTACTCTTCACTTATAAAAAAAATATGGGCAGAATATACAGCACACATGGGAGAGAGAAAAAAAATGCTGATAGCATTTTGGCTGGGAAACACTGAAGGAATAGATCATTTGAGGGACTGAGGGGGTAGATGTATGAATCATACTAAAATTATTTACATTAGAACTGCTACTAATTCTTTGAAAGTAGTCACCATTGACTCGGGCATTTATGGTTCTGAAGGGTTAGTTCTTACCTGCTTCAATACTGTCAAAAATGGTGTCTGAAACATCTGTGAGGGTGTATCATATCAGATAAGGGCAAAGATTGTTACATTATCATCAGAAAGTTACTAGATCGTATTTTCAACATACAATGGGAATAAAAACTGCCATACCAGAGATATTACTGAACAAACAGGAGTCTACTTCCATAAGGTTGCCTACTCAAGGGCTCAAAGTTACGATGTACACTCAGAGATGATTTAGACAAAGACCTATAGAGTCTGTAATAAGTCTTTATAAAATTTGAAATGTCATGTTAAAATGACTTGATGGGTATTGTCATTAAACCAAAATATTTTGAGCGAACTTTCCTAAAACAAACTGTCCTAATAAAAATCGCACATTTCTCACAAAAATACAAGCACATCAGAACACAAACCTTCAAGATCTGGTACAGAATGGTGGCAGTCATTTTATCCAAAGTTCATATTTTTCAAAGATTAAGAACAGAAGACTCAATGGCCTTGTTATGAATGCCTGATCCAAATTCAAAACTTTGTATGGCATCCAAAATTTTGTTGCTGATGGTGGGGAATTTAACACTTCAAAGCACAGCACCACCTGATTTAACATTCAAAGATTCTGTATTCTGCCCACAGCCTGTGCTTATGTGCTTCATATGACTTTCCCAGTAAAAAGTTATTATGTTTCTAAACAGAATTAACCAGCTTGTCTCTGTGAGGTAGGAACCTAACTTTCAAATATCATTTTCTGAATTTTTGCCTTTCAAGGGGTTAAGGTGACATTAATCACAATGTAAAAATATCATGGTTTGGGGGCAAATATATACAAATACTGATATGCTGCCATGTTTTCAGGTTTTCATCATCGAAATCTATGTGACAGTCATCTGCTGTGGCATCTCTGCTGCAGGAGAACACACGCGTGTCCGCAGAGAGCCTCCTGTTTACAGTCCACCCAAGCCTAGCTACGGACCCCCGAAACCCAGCTATGGGCCACCTCCTAAGGCCAGTTATGGACCACCAAAATTCAGCTATGGCCCTCCACCAAAGGTCAGCTATGGCCCTCCACCAAAGGCCAGCTATGGGCCTCCACCAAAGGCCAGCTATGGACCTCCAAAGGCCAGCTATGGGCCTCCACCGAAGGCCAGTTATGGTCCACCCAAACCAGTATATGGGCCTCCAAAAGTAAGCTATGGTCCACCACAGGCCACTTATGGCCCTCCACCAAAAACAAGCTATGGGCCTCCAAAACCCAGCTATGGACCTCCTCCAAAGGCAAGTTATGGGCCACCAAAACCTGTCTATGGGCCACCAAAACCCATCTATGGGCCACCAAAACCTGTCTATGGGCCACCAAAACCAGTCTATGGGCCCCCAAAAGCCAGTTATGGTCCACCACCAAAAGCTAGCTATGGTGTGCCTTCAAACACACATGGGGTACCACCATCAGATTCTTATGGGGCACCTGTCAGCTCTCATAAGGAGGTTCAGAGCTATGATGCTCCTGTGTCTTCCATCTCCTTCATGTATTCATCATCTGCTTCTCATGACATACCATCCAGCTCGTATGGAACTCCATCAAACTCATATGGAGCTCCATCCAACTCATATGGAGCTCCATCCAGCTCATATGGAGCTCCATCTAATTCTTATGCTGCACCTTCCAGTTCTTATGGTGCTCCAAACATACCATCAAGTTCATATGGGGTGCCTTCCAGCTCCTATGGTGCCCCTAAAGCTCCATCAAGTTCATATGATGCACCTTCCAGCTCTTATGGTGCTCCAAGCATACCTTCAAGTTCATACGGGGCACCTTCAAGCTCTTATGGTGCCCCTAAAACTCCATCAACTTCGTATGGAACACCTTCTAGCTCTTATGGTGCTCCAAACATACCATCAAGTTCATATGGGGTGCCTTCGGGTTCTTATGGTGCCCCTGAAACTCCATCAAGTTCATATGGAGCACCTTCCAGTTCTTATGGGGTACCAGACAATTCTTATAGTGCACCATCAACTTCTTATGGTGCCCCCCAAGCACCTTCTAGCTCATATGGTTTACCATCCAGCTCTCATGGGGTACCAACAACATCTTTTGGAGCACCCTCAAGCTCATTTGACTCTCTATCCAGTTCATATGGGGCACCAACCTCTTCCTACAATGCACCATCAAGCTCCTATGGGGCACCCTCAGTCTCAGATTCATATGGAGCCCCCTCGAACAGCTATGAAACTGTTGTTAAGTTTGATGACAGTCAAGCAGATGCATCAGATAAACAAAGTGTCTCAAGTGCTATCAAGAATCCAGCATCTTTGTTTGAAGAAACAGCTAATCAGAAGAAACCCACAAATGATGTCCAGCACACATCAGCAGGTTACAGTGGAGACGAAAGCACCCAGTACACAGGTTCACAGATAAATAAATATATTAGGTCTCAGTCACAGGTCTCATCCTCAAATAAGGATAATCTCACGCCAAATTACTATGAACACTATGCCGAAACTTTTGGAGATAAGATCAGACAAAGAGATCCTTTTCCCTTCTCAGACACAGCATATTCTGATCGACAAGACAATGCTGCAACAATCCCTCTGCAGAACGGAGGTTATGTCAAGTTTCCTGATGCTCAATCAGAATTCTCACAGTCTCTCAAGCAATGGGAGGCTTCATCAGCTCAAAAGCCAGGTTCAAGTACAGCTGAAGTGAAGCAGAGATAGTGACATGCAGATAATATCAAGCATTACCATAGTCATCCATTCACTATACATTTGTTAATTCATTTGTAATAAAATAATGATGTAGCCTTATTCACTGTCAGAGGAGATATATTCTAGTTACAAACATCTGGACATTTTACAGTACAAAATTCACATTGAAAAAATATGAGATTTAAGGGTTCTCACAGTGAATATTATGATTATGGTCTTCTGGGACATGATGTTGCATAGTCTGGCACCTAGGACATATAGTCTGCAGTTCTGGACCTGCTAAATCATGCACTCTGAAGCAGGATGTTCCTCCAAAACGTTAGTAACTATCTACCTGACTACATGGTGTCAAACCTCACAACACCCTACTCTTCAGGACAGAATAACAGTTAGAAGAAACACACCAAAAGAATTATTGATATTTAGTAGTTTCAAGATTCTTCTAGACAATATACATTGTCAACTACACAATGTGTAGAATTCCTGCATCATACATCAAACATATAATTTGAACCATGCATGCAACAGATGATATTACAGGAAGAAGTTCTGGGAGGAGCCAACTGCCTACTTTCCTTTGATTCAACATGGACCACATGAAAAACGACATCTCCCAAAATTCTTTCTTGATGCAGGAACATATTTACTGAGTTGTTACCTAGCAATGACGGGGATATACAGACAGACCCACAGACATACAAGTCCAACAAATCTTTTACTGTTGCGTGTATTTGTTGCCACAGGAATGTGTTTACCAAGCCGTTGCCTAGCAATGAAAGGAGCGATACACTTTACCGAGCCTTTGCCTAGCAACGATGAAAGGGATTCACATACAGACACACAGATTGAAGGAAGGGATTTATGAAGTATGCTACTGAGATGGGCTCAAGATGCCATGATATACATATCAAGTTTCATAAAGACTGGTTCAGGCACTAAGAATTAATGGGAGAGCAGGCAATTCACAGACACACCAGACAGCAGAGATCACATAAGCCTACTTCTATTTTTACAAAATGAGGAACACAGGCTATAATAAGGACTTCAAGAATTACACTATTCTCCTAATACTGTTATGACAGTTACAAGACACTTTCGATCTGCTTCATATATAACCCTAATGGTTGAAACAACAAGGTAAGCACTTTGAAGACCCAAATAGACATGGAATATTAACATCCAAGACCAGATACTGATATATTACCAGGTGCCTCAGTCATTTTTTCATGAAAACTAGATTTTGGACTTACTTTATTCAAAACAGAAATGGAAGGGAACAAATGAAGAGCAATCAATATTTGCTGTGTACTTTTACTCTGTCATGCTTTAGCATGTTACACTTCAAGTTTCTCTTCATTTGAATAACATCTGCAGGAGGGAATGACACTTATGTGCACTGCTGCAACAGTCCATCACTTGATGGGACTGGCAGTGAACATAATAAATTGGAAAAAAGGTTTTGGTAATAAAAAACTGGATTGCAAATAATGGCAGATTATGGTATTGGTGGTACTGAACATTTGGGTTGTAACATGATAAACTTTAACTCAAAACAATTATGAAAACTTGTGCCTCTACAAAGTGTTATACTTCTTAAAGCCAGGATTTCTTCTTTCTGATGTTGACAATTGTCATTTGTAATAAGAATAAGGCTCCAGGAAGTTGAAATGTGTGAGATGAAGAACAAATGAAGCTACACTCTCTGGCTCAGGCAATCCAAACAATTTTACTTCTACGCACAAGAACCTGGACTACTACTTTCTTGAATTTCGTGGAAAGCAGAAGGAAACAGACAGAGGTGACATAAAGCATCAATAAACAAAATAATGTTGGGGTATCATTGACCAAGTTATAGAGTGAAACCCAATTAATCAGGGAACCATGACAGTTCATACGAAATTTGAGGTTGTTATGATTATAGTTTCCTGAGATGTGAACCCACATACTTTGGTAGATAGGTTCCATTAAAACATTGGTAACCATACACCAGACTACACAGCATCATACCACAAGAGATAGTAATCTTCATAGCAATCACCCTGTGATCCTCAAATCTTCATCTGTGGAACTTCCTACAGCCACCCACACACCTTTCATGTACATGATCCCACTCATAACTTTTTTTTTTTTATTTTATTATAGTTATTGACAATCTGAAATGTACATTTCCTTAAGCCAATGTGCTGACTAGTGTGCAGATTTTCAGCTTAATTAATGCACACCTTACATGATGTGAGTGGGTGACATCCATCGATGTTCACCTCATAGCCATAGGTCTTGTGGTGATTTGCATTTTAGACGTCTGTTAATCGGTGGCAGTAATAAGGGACGAATAAGTGGGTTGTCATGTTCTTTAAGTTTGTTGACGTAGGCAGAGCTGTGTTGGTGGATAACTTCCGTGACATGCTGCATTTTGAGATCAGTATGTAGAGCGCGGTTTGAGATGTACCAGGGTGCAGCAGTTATGGTTCTTAGGCTTTTTGATTGTGAGCGTTGGATGATGTCGACTGTAGATTTGAATGCGGTTCCCCATAGTTGGATGCCATATATCCATATAGGCCTGATAACTGTTTTGTAGATGAGTAGTTTGTTTGAAAGGGAGAGGTTGGATTTTCTGCCAATTAGCCAGTTGAGCTCTGCAGCTTTGAGGTCCATTATAACTTCTTCATGAAACACATTTTGACAAAATAAAAGGAGGCTTACAAGATCTCCTTGCTGTCTGTGTGCCTGTGTGTCGCTCCCACCCCTTAACATTGCTAGGCAATGGCTCAGGAAACATGTCCCCATGGGAATGAATACACACACAACAGAAGAATTGTTGGACACGGGGTTTTCTATGCAGTCCATGTCATTTCAAATATCAAATATGTATTGAAAGGAAAGCAGGCGATTAATTCTTCCCAGAACTTCTTGTTTCAGAGAGTGGGGGGGGGGACTTATGTTGAAACCACCTAAGAATATTTTTAAGAGCTGCTCTAGAGGTGCGGGTCCCTAGAGTAAAACACAGATGGTGCCACAAACTGTATTCAAGATCCTTTGGTAATAACTTTCGGTAATTTTCTCTTTTTTTACAATTTGGTTTTATTTTCCAAAAATCTTGGGAAGTGGGGGAGGCAGATATCTGGCCATCTTCCCTGATGATGTGTGGTCATGTATTCAACAAAATAGTAGCACAATATTTTTACATGTATTTATGTAGAATGTACATAGTGGATTTGTATTTATAAAAAATTGTTGATGTTAACCTTTATCAGCTGTGCATCACATTATTGTGACACAAATACACATGGTCCAGCTGGCCTGGCATCACACTTTTTCAATACAAATATCATTAAACGAGATGAATTTAAATTCTGGACACTGGGGCTATAGTTTTGGTGGGTGTAAATCCCCTAATTCAAGGTGAAAAAGTTTAATGAAATAATAGTGCAATGAGTAGTGTAAAATTTTAAACTGTTATCCAAAGAAATAAATGAGTGTCTTGAACTTTACCATATGCTGCTATCACAGGAGTTCACTTTTGATTGAACTAACTAATTCCATGAAGCTGAGCCTTTCTTGAGAAGCTGCCACTCGCTAAGCTACTCAACAACTTCCTTACATTTTATGGAACCTGAAGGTTCATTACCATGTTCCCAAGGGCTTTCCACTGGTCCCTATCCCGAGCCAGATCAATCCAATCCATATGTCCATTTTCCTTACCTTAGGCCGTCCAAGTTCGAGGCCCTTCATAACATTTTGTAACAAAATTATTTGTTATAGTCAGGAGTTGTTAGCCCCATGCCGAACCCCCAAGCTTGATGACCACCCCTTGTTGGCTGCCCACCACTGCTTTCTCATTGTATTTGCAGCCACCCTCCATAACTGGAGGCTGTCTCCTCCATCCACAACCTGACATTACACCATGCTGCTGTGTCAAGCATGTTTGACTGGTAGAATGGTTTTATGGTGGTCTGGTGTTTGGAAACACCGGTTCATATTCGTGGATGGCAGGGACCTAAATAGCATCCCTGGTGATGAGAACTTCCACTGCCCCTCTCAGAGAAGAAGTCAACTTTCCCAGAACTCTGTCACACTTAATGACATAAAACTGTCTCACACCAAAACTGTCACTGGAGTTGTAACTCTTAAAGCAGTTTTATTTACAATGTTCCATGATATGTTTACATTACTACCAATTAACTGTTATAATATTGTAACGTGGATGGACACAGCATTGCTAAGTAACTGACTGGTAAACACATATCACAGCAACGAATGGTCAAAAATAGTGTGTCCATTGCTAGGAAATGCATGGGTGCACATGCCTGACAACAAGATATGATATCCGTTGCTAAGCAGTGAGGTGTTTTCTTGTGGGTGGTCCGTGCCAAGCCTATATGGGGAGCAGTGAACACTGTTCGAGAGATTTCATCAGGAAGACCTTATTCAAGGCAGTCCAATACTTGATGTGTTAGTATAACGAATTGTAGTTATGACGTGGAAATTACAGAACAAATCCCGGAACCAATTATTTACTGTTGTGTTACCAAGATACATGATGTGATATGAAAAAAGAAGCAAAACAAATGATTTCCATTTAATGAAAATTCAGAAGTTGTACTGTTATAACGTGCAGCCAATAAAGTAGTTCCCCTCCTGGCATTTGCTTGGGTTACCTCTGCCATCATGCCAGCCCTGTCTGTCATCAACAACATACAAACAATGAGCTGGAGTCACATACACACACACACACACCCAAATTATAATTTCTAATTATTCATGCTGCTGGAGAAGCAACATATTTTGAACCTATAATTGTGCTCCAAAATGTAGTAAATCTTTATCCATAACACCCCACAGAAAGGCAGCAAACCTTCTATTCATAATACAGTCAGAAAGTAGCATATTTTGTATACATGGCTACTGCCAGAAAAATAACATAATTTTATCTGTAAATGTTGGAAGAAAATTTGCACAGTTTATATCCACAGTTGTTGGCTGAAGGGTAACATATATTCCATCTGCAATTGTCAGCAGGAAAGTCATGTATTCTTAACCACAATTAATGGCAGCAGAGAAGCGAGTATTTCTTATTCATAAATGGTGGAAGGTGGGCATGAGAAACCACACATGAAACACCCTGTTAACATATATGCTGCTTGCTGAATCACTGAACATTTCCTTCCTACCAAATGATAGTCGAGGGCCTATTATCATATTCTTTCAGACATACTGGGATTCGTTCAAACTCACAGACTTCTGTGGGACAGTGATATCATATGACACTATCAGGCACATAACTACATACAGAATGGAACATGACCACAACGAGAAAGCATCACAGCCATCCTACCTTCTTCTCCATGAACGTCTGCCACTGGGCCTCTTGACAGTAACACTGGAAATCATCGAAGAAGGCAGGTCCGGCCTGTGTCTGGGGAAGACCTGGCAGATGATTTGCCAACCCCAAGGTGACATTCAACTTCTCAAGCAGGGCTTTCACCACAGGGATCAGGAAGGAATAATGCTCCTGGTTGTCCACTGCAAATATTTCAGAATGAAGGAAGCATATCCACGTCTGGCCTGTTTTAGAGCAGCATTACCCAACAAACTGGCAGGACAAAGTACACATAAACAATTACCTTTGATAGTTTTCTGCACTATCCGATTCATGAAGTAAAGGAGATAAGCGCCCTCCTCAGGCTCCCTCATGTTGCGAGTCTGTATGAGTGTGTGAAGCTTGGCCGTTGCCATGGCACAGAGTTCGAGGTTGCTGTTAGCAGAGCAACTCAGCAGGATGCCTGTAATGCACAGGCCAATGCATCATATGATCACACTGATATTGCCCCACACTTCCAGTCCTTGCCCAGTGTCCCCTTTGCTGTTCACTGCTAAATGGGACTCTTGAAAACCACAAAGAGGAAATAACAAATAGAGAGAAAAAGATAAGTAATGAAATAAAAGAATATAATAATATCACCAAGTTGGAAGAATAAATGAAGCCAGATTCTTAAAGATTACTGAACTGAAAATGAAAGGGAAACACACATGACAGAAACAAAGATCAAGAGGTTATGAAAAGCACACAAAAGGACAGAAGTGAAAAGACAACATATTAAACTTCTATACAAATATTTATTGTTGTTATAATGAACATAAGGTTGACCTTCTTACAGCCACTAAAGTACACTCTCAATATTCCAGTCTGTTGTGTATTCATTAGCCATTGCATAGTATTACTTTGGATGATGGCAATTCCTCCGCTTCTGTACTGTTTCTTGGGTTTTTGTTTTGTCTCCGGTTGGTCTGCACTGTGTAACTTAGACACTGACTAGAGAGGAATCACTGCCTTCTACAGTTGCATTACTTTGTTATACCAAACTGTTTTCATGGTGACCTGATTACTGAGTCACTGCATATAATGCAACTGACAACTGGTGTGTTGGAGGTACAGGGTGCAGCAGCATAATTTGCTGATTTGAATTTGGAGCCAGGAAGCGAAGTTTGGCCGTTAGAGGGTGCAGATGGCCTCATTCGAACGGGTGGGTCAGGAAATTTTCTCTTCCTTCCACTTTAGTACCGAGAATGCATTGGATGAAGGAACAGTGCGCGTTTGCCGTAGAGGCTTACTTTTCTAACGGTCACTCGACTGTCGCCACGCAGCGAGCATTCCGTGCGCACTTCAATATTTCAGCCCGAGCTCGTGTTCCTGGTCATCAATTGATTGTTACGTGGGCAAACACATTCAGGAGAACTGGCAATGTGGAAAAGAGAAGAACAGGCGAACGGCCCGTCAGATCACCCCAAAACATTGAGGCGGTAAGGCAGTCTTTTTTGCGATCTCCTCGGCGCTTGGCATGCAAGCATGCAGCTGCCCTTGGAATGTCTGATCATTGTGTGAGGCGAATTCTTCATGATGACCTTCACTTTCATCCTTACAAGTTGGCCGTGGTGCAAGAACTCACTGAACGTGATTTTGCTGCTCGGCAACATGCATGTGAAGTGTTCCTTGAAACTTTGCCTGATGATGCGCTTGTGTTCTTTAGTGACGAGGCTCATTTCCATCTTTCTGGATGCGTGAACAAGCAAAACATGTGCTACTGGAGTGATAACAATCCCCGAGAACTTCATGAGAGGCCCCTTCATTGTGAACATGTAACTGTTTGGTGTGTATTGTCGAGAGTAGGGATTATTGGTCCCTGCTTTCTTGAAGAGAATGAGGTTGCAGTTACAGTGAATTCTGTTCGCTATGTGAAAATGGCTGAAGAATTTTTTTTGCCAAGTCTTGATGAAATGGATGTTGGGGATGTGTGGTTTCAGCAGGATGGAGCCACGGCACACACGGCGCGAACTGCAATGCGTGTTTTGCGGGAACACTTCCCCTGGCGCCTGATTTCTTTGAGGGGCCATCTTCAGTGGCCGGTGTGCTCACCAGATATAGCCCCTTGTCACTATTTCTTATGGGGGTATCTGAAATCCCTTGTGTACACCAATCGTCCAAGGACCCTTGCTCAACTGAAGGAGAACATTCGCCAAGCCATTGCCAACATACCCATCGCTATGCTGGAAAGAGTAGACCAACACTTCAGAATTCAGGCAATTCAGTGTATCGCAAATGGGGGGCGCAACTTGTTGGATACAATTTTTAAAACAGAGTAAACGTAAATTTCCAATGTTGTAGAATATGGAGAAAAAATAATTACGATACCTATAACATCTTTTGTTTTACTGACCCTTCAAATCAGCAAATTATGCTGCCGCACCATGTACATTGTCACCAACAGCATGTGAACCAATGGGCGGTGGAGCTCCTGTGGCCTGCACTGATCAGCCAGTGCTTGATCAATGTGGGTGGCTTCCGCAGAAGAATAAGAGAGGAAACTGATGAGGAAGACAGAGATGGAGAGGCTTGGTTGCTAGATGCCCCACAATAAGAGGAGGAACGTGACTGTTGTCATTGTGGTGGTGGTAATGACTATGACAATGATGACAACTATAATGAAGATGGTAATAACAAATGATTTAAATGAAAGCAAGCATTTTATAAGCTTCCTATCGTGACTATCTTATGCACTTGCATTTAGCTGCATTTTTAAAGGACCTGCTTCACAAGTTCTAGGTTACATTATGCAACTTACAGGATTAAAGTTGCAGAGAACTTTCCTAAACACAGACCAAAAGTGTCTCACAAATGGGCCTATCAATGATAATCATGCTGAGTCTGTGAAGGGAAGTCACATCAGTGGTGGGAATGGTTTTTACATCTCTCGATATTGTATTTCCCTTAGGCTCCCAGTGAGCCAGCTCAAGGAGCTTGTACCTAATGAAAGATATCACTACCAACATCCATTATAGCACTGGTATATGACTGCAGGGGTAAGCATAATAGCTCTCAGGTACAGAAGAGGGTCAACTCCTCAGATTTCTTTCCATCACTTAAGCACAGAGCACACTACAAATGCTAACAGCTGAGGCAGACACACCACACTGCACTCATCACTCAAACTCACCAAAAGCCATCTTAGCCATCTCCATCCACTCTTCACCAGGTCCCTCCTGGAACACCAGGAGAGCATCCAGGAGGCCAAGTACACCGTCCAGCAGCTGCAACCCCAGTAATGCCTCAGAACAGGGTTTTCAGATAAGTTTTCATTGTGATCAAAGTTTAAACCGTGATCTTCTGGGTTGTGACACCATGTAGACTGTAGGTATCAACTACCTGATGCTCCATCTTCAAGGTTATCACCTACCTGACTACACAATGTCACAATCTAAACCAAACATTCACCATCCAGAACACAAAACGCTATCTTTGGATGCTACCCTGAGCTACAAACACTTAGCTGGATAACCAGGAATCAAAATTCAGTTCCCTGAAAGAGCAGAGATCTTTTCCTCTTCTTCATGGTGTCCAGACCAGCTGCAGGACCAACTCGACCTCCTATCCAGTGGGTACCAGGAGCTCTTTCCTTGGAGGTAAAGTAGCAGGGGCATGAAACTGACCAATCATCTCTATCTAGTGCCAAGTTGAAGAAAGTAGGAGCTATACCTCCACTCCTCATATGGCTCCATGCTGTGATGCTCAATTAGCACAGGGATAATCCTAAGTTAACTGACTATAGCTTACTTCCCCAATACCTGCTGCTTTATAGTCCATTTTAATAATAATTCTCATCCAATTCTGATGACTCCCATCATTTCAGTCTCACACCTCATATTCATTACCCATTCAGTAGGACATTTCAAATGGCCTGTTCAGTTTTATTAATTATACAGTTCCTTTAGTTTCTGGATAGCTCAGCCGGTATAGTGACTGGCTATGGGCTGGACAACTGAGGAGTCAGAGTTAGAATCCCAGTAGGGTCAAGATTTTCTCTTCTCTACAGCATCCAGACTGGCTCTGGGGCCCACCCAGCCTCCTATCCAATGGCTACCGGGGGCTCTCCCCAGAGGTAAAGCAGAAAGGGCATGAAGCCGACCACTCACGTCCAACTAGTACCAAGGTCAAGAAAACGTGGATCTATACATCCATTCCCCCACACGTCTTCATGGTGTAGCGCTTAATTAGGTAAGCATAGGGACAACTTTATGTTTTTACCTTATTTAAGTTTAGTGTGACACTGTCACATTTACATAGTGATGAATGTTAGTATAATTAGTGAATAATGAATTGGAAAGGATGTGGAAGGAAGTGATCATGACCTAACCTGGAGCACTACTCTGGCATTTACCTGGAGGGACTGAGGACACCCACATAGAAACTCAGTCAGGTCAGTTGGTGTCCAGGCACACACTCCACTCCAGGAGCTCCATTTGCTTGACCAGGAAAATTAGTGTCTCTGATATCCTGCAGGCCCTCAGAGCATTGATGGCACGATGGGCAACAGATGACCAGCACCAACCCCACTTCATTCAACACTGACTAGCCTAAGACTGAACCTGGGCCTCCATAATGACAGGTAGCCTTTGAACTCTTACCTTTGTAGAAGTTTTTTTTGAAGTATCTTCATTGGGATCCAGCACCACAAGGTCATAGATCCACCTCATAAGCTGAGCAGCATTTTCTGCCTGGACTGACAGCGCCATTGTCTGCCCGACATCTCGCAGATCTGAAAGCGAAGCCTGGACACCCATCTCCAGGATCCGCAACTTCAGCTGTAGGTGTGAGCAGTACAGCTCGTTGTTCAGCCCAAGGAAGTTCACACATGTCATAACCTGACCACGTTCCTGTACACCGCAACGCAAGATGATGCACATCAGGCAACACAATATTTCAATACCCCAAATATAAAAGCCTAGCCTTGTCCTGTATCTCAGATTCAGAACCAAGTCCATACTTCAACCAGACAGTCCACATCTGAATTATATTGACTATGGATTCAACAAGATGCTAGACGTCTTGGCAGTCCCGGCTATGAATTCAAACAGACGCTTCACATCTGATCATTGAACTATGTATTTGATTTGTTTCACTGTGGTCTGTCACACTAATATGAAAAAGTTAAATAGTTCTGTTCAATGTGACAGGTTATGGTTTTCTTATTTCAGTTATTCATACCCTTACATGTTTTGGTCTTCAGAGACCATCTTCAGAGGGACACTTTTTACATCAATACAGTTAGAAACCAGTATTATAGTACATATTCTAAAAGTTAAAAAATATACATACAATATTAATAATATACAATTGGCTATAAAAGCGAAAGTCTTTACAAGTACAGCGGCTGTTCGAATACTTTAAAATATTTATAGTTAGTTTGTTAAGATTCTATCTGAATCAAAGAAATAATAAGAGGGATGACACAAACCAGCTTGGTTTATGAATTCCAATAGAATCTTAACAAACTAACTATAAATATTTTAAAGTATTCGAACAGCCGCTGTACTTGTAAAGACTTTCGCTTTTATAGCCAATTGTATATTATTTATATTGTATGTATATATTTTAACTTTTAGAACATTTACTGTAATAGTGGCTTCTAATTGTATTGATGTAAAAGGTGTCCCTCTGAAGATGGTCTCTGAAGACTGAAACATGTAAGGGCATGAGTAATTGAAATAAGAAAACCATAACCAGTTGCACTGAACGGAACTATTTAACTTTTTCATTGAACTGTGTGCTTGGCATTTGAGCAATCATGATTCTGAAATCAACCAGGTGCTCTGCATCTGAACAATAATGGCTATGCATTCAACAAGCTGCTACATATCTGAGCAATCCTGGCTACAAATTCAATCAGGCGCTTCACATCTGACTACTGAACTACATGCTTGGCATCTGAGCAATTGTGATTTTGACTTCAATGAGGTGCTCTACACCCGACCATGATTTGATTCAACCAAATGCTCCACATTTGAGCAATTACTACTCTGAATTCAACCAGGCAATCTAGATGTGATAAGGACAGAATTCAATCAGGTGCTTTACGTCTCAATAATTGTGACTCCGAAGTCTAGCACATATTTTGCTTGGCAACACAAACCTTCCAGGCCTCCTTGCTGGCTCCTTCCACTCCCCTCCATAGCACTGTGAACAGGATGTTTGCCACCAGGTAACAGAGTTCCTCCTCCTGGTCCACTAGTTTCTCAGCATCCATTTCCTTCCACTGCCTACAGCAGAAACCTCTTGTGGGTCACATCTACACTATTTTGCTATAACCAGATTACACACTTGTCATATCCCAGAAGGTACAATTCCTGTGTACTGTGATTCACTGGAGACAGGTCTTCTGAGGATCAGTAATCTGTCTGCCCTGAATCTCATTTATGCTGTCAGTGGCTTACACAATATGGAGTAAAATTATAGGATAATAAATAAAATGAATTGAAAAAATGTGGAAGGAAGCAGTAGTGACATATGTGAGGTGTGAAGGACTGGGGTCCTCCCATGTATGCAGCAGCAGTAGGGTTTACAATGGTTACTACTGCTTACTATTGTGACCATTCTCATTAACATTCTTGTCATTGGTAGGGGGTTAGGAAGCTACAAGTTATGTTCACAGTGCGGTCTTCCAGAACATGACATTGTATTGCAGTCCAGCAGATAGTCTACATGTTCCTCCAAAATGTTCGTACTCACTTACCAGACTACACAGTTTCATAATCCAGAAGACAACAATATGAACTTCCAACACTGCAAAACTATAAGTTTCATACAGAAGTCAGTGTCACAGCTCAGGCACTTACTCGCTGAGTTCCCATTGTGTTGGCCAGAGCTCAATACCAGGTTGGGTCATGTGGGATTTGTGGTGGGCAAAAATTAACACTACACAATTTCTCCAAGCATAGCCTTCTTCCCACGAATGTGAATACAATTTTGTCATCAAATAACATTGCTGTATTTAGAATTATGTTATCATTTACTAACTCATTCTGCTGAGTGTGGTGCCCTTGTTCATATTTGGGAAGACCTGCATGTCAGTACGGAGACTGTCAATTCCAACTGACATTTTTTGTGGGTTTTCTCAATCTCTCAGACAAATACATGGATAGAATTTTCTGTTAGGTCATGACCATGTCCTTCCAAATTCCTTCCAATTTATTACCCACTAATCATACCATCATTTAACACTTCCTTGTCTATGCTACTTATAGTGTAGTTAAATAATAAATAAACAGAATACATGGCTTATCATAATGGACAGAGGTAATGTAACAAACTGCAAAGCAGCATAGCTCCTGAGAGGGAAACATACTTCAGTGCCACAGACATGAGCCCCTCCTCTTGATCCTCATTGATGCTCTGCACAGATGCAATGCTGATGTCATCCTTGGTGGATGCAGTGTTGTCATTCTGGTTAGGTGATGACAGGTCCTCGGTGCTGCTGCTCGAGCCAGACCTACGAATACAAGCATGGTACACACTCAGTCAAATTTAATTGCATGAACTACGGTTAAAAAAGGCCAATTATGGCACCATATTTAACAATACAAAAACTGTGGAGCTGAGAGTCACAGACTGTGAGTTTCACAAAGGTGATAGGAACACAGATATTACTCTCATGAGAAAAGTGAACTGAGAGCATAAGGAATAAAAAAAAATGTAAAGATAAAAATCTTGAAGATCAATTAATAAATAATAGAATAACATGGTTATAGATGGGTTCTAGGAATGTACAAAGACAGACACGCAAAGAAGGTTTCAAGCATGACTCTAAAAGGAAATACAAGTTATAGGTTATGGAAGATGTTCTGTGAAAGGAAGAAAGAACATGGGAGAAACTGAGGAGGAGGAAAAGCTTTTGGTAAGACAATGACAGATGGAAAGACTTGGTTGCTAGATGACGTATGAAGAAATCAGAAATGTTTTAGGCAGCAGAAGAAGATATTGTACAGAACAATACAGACATCATCACAAACTTTTACATCCTATTTACCACAGACATAAATCATTATTCCTTGTACGTCACCAAAAAAAGAAATATATCATAATAAAAATGATTTTAAAAAAAGTTGCAAATCTTAAATATAACTATTTTTTCATGTGTGCACCAGTTCGTTCTATGATGACCCATTTTCTATTTGATATGATTTTGACATTATTAGCTGACAATAACCGCATCTCCTGATATGAGCCTAATTAAATTCACCTATACTGAGGCCACCAAAAGAAGCCACACCCCTCTCCAGCATACTCTCCTGTATTCTCCTCCACGGTCTAGCCAATCTGTTCATATGACTGCAGATAAGGATAACCTGTGTTGTGACAAGACAACTTTGCCTTCACACTTGTATATAAATAACTGAACATGCTTGTTCACCTGTTCCCCAAACTGAGGGCATCTAAGTCCAGACCAAGGGATGCAAGCAACTGTGGTGTTCGAACTGGGCGAGGAGAAGCCCGTGATGGTGATGGTGAACATTCCCGGTCTGAGGCACTGTCATACAGAGAGATCAGACTGCGACGCTGCTTTAACCGTGAGACAGCAGATTCTCCTAACTCTTCCAGGCTCTCCTATAGCAACAATATCAATAACATATGTTTGCTACTGGACTGCTGTAGGCACAACATATCCACATCATCTGCCATCTTGTATTTTGTCCCTTCCAAAATTAATTTAATTTATTTTTAACGTTATTTGCAACTGTTCCTATTCCTGAACATCTGTAGATACCTCCAGTCAACTGTGGCCAGACACAGCACTGACGTGGGTCATCATACCTTTCCCAGCATCAGGCATCAGCTCCACCCCAACAATATGAATGTGGGAAACAGAGTTTCCCTAAGCAGATCACAGAAGCTTCTAATCCATTCCATGAAGGAAGGAAAAACATCCCCCCCCCCAGGACAAAACAGTTACTTCCTCCTTGGATGACATTCCTCTGCCAGGACCTTCAAAAAATGGCTGATTTCTAGTTTCCCTTCTCCAGGGGCCATAAGAACAGGCTGTCTCTTCTACAGTTCAATTTCCTTCCTGTGCCAACAATACTGTGGTCCAGAAAAGGGCCATTTTCCTGGCACAGTTCCTCTTGACTCCGACCAGGATTTATCTGCGGATCTGAATGACCCCTCCCCTCCAACCAGCCTATATCACCTAATTACATCTTCACCCTACTCTCTCTGGCAGCACATTCCTGCCAACACAGGTATCCAAGCCAAAACCTACATGGCCTCACTATCCAGATGACCACAAGCCGACCAATCATTACTGCCAAAACATCACAACTTTCAGAACGTTTAATCTCGCCTAATAAAACAATGAGATTAACCTCTACTGTCTAGGAACTGGCAGTCTAAATGCCCTGTTACTACAAATGTTAGTGGCCAGATTTTTAACTTTGGGGTAACAGCATTTGTACCCAGAAATGTGATGCTAGGCCAGATGCAGATGTACATGTGCTCTCATAGTACTGCATGCATGCCCAGTGAAAGATAAACAAAGGATGAGAGAAGCAGGCAATATGGCATAAAAGGAACAAATAACATAATCATATAAAATTTTGATTCAAAAACCTGACAGAAAGAGATCACTCAGAAGGTTTGGGTACACTCCTGCTTAAGGGAAACCTTGTACCATGTGCTGTAGTTAGATGCAGTGCTTAACATAATTCCATAAGGACATATCTTGTGACACTGATGGAGGAAAGCTGACATCCATTACGGAAACCCAGAACTATGAGCCACAGTATTTCTGGATGTGTTTTTGTGTTGCTCCTTGGTATAGCAGTCACCACAAAAATGCTTCATGTTTACCTGCATCTCGAAAGTTTTTTGACGGAACACAGAGTATGCAGACGCGACAACTGAGGTTATGTTATCAGCTGCATAATGTATGTTGTCAGCTACGGCGCTTGTCACAGTGTCTGCCACCTCTGGAAACACAATCCATACATAGTAAGTACAATTCTGTACAATAAAGAACATGTGTGAAATCAGTGTCTTCTTGGATATGATATCACATGATCTGGTAGACAGTATTACAGAGGAACTCACTGCTTCCGCCTTCAGGGCTGAAGATGGGGGCAACATGATCCTCCAAAGTGTTGACACCCTTCTATTAGACTACATGGTATCACATCCCAGAAGAGCATAATCACAATATTCACTGTTATTGAAACTCAAATCTCACACATACAGACACATATACAAAAATCTTCTTCGCATCTTGCAGGATAGTTCTACCCTGAGTCACTATGGTCCTCTTGAAAGGAAACAGTTCTGCTGGCTTTGTAAAGTTGGTAGTCGGAAATACATTAATTATTTGTAATTTAATGTAATCACTTAATAGCACAAAATGAAATGAACGCTCTGAAGCCTGAAATTAATGCAAATGTTATTTAACAATTTAATTCTACCTCACAGAAAAACAATGAATGTCTATTACAAAGACAAAGCGTTTAATGCTGTTTATTCTGCGAATCATACAATACATAAATACACCATGTCAGCAAAATCCATGAGTTCTTAATGTTAAAGCAGCTGACATATAGAGTAATCATTGTACTTTAAAGGGTGAATTCAAAATTATGGTTTTAGTCTTAGTTTTCGACAGTTTCATTAATCCAAGGTTTCTACCTTGTATTAATGTAAGCATTGAAGGTATACAGAAAAATCATACAGGATCTGCTTATATTGCTTTCACTAGAACTGGAAACTAAGTGGAGTTCTGCTCTTTGAAAATATGTTTAACAAACAAATTCACATTCTATGATGGTATTTGGCGATTAACACAACAGTAAATAAAAAATAGACCAATCAAACTGCTTACTTATTGCTGTGTTTACAGCCAAATACATCAATCATTATACACATCAGGATGCAAAGAGTGAAGATAAATTCGCATTAATTGAAAATTAATCTTCCACAGTGTTACATTTGGTACCACTGCAAAGTTTTACATTTCCATTCTTCCTCTCCCTCCTTTACTTCCTTCCAAGCCACAGTATATGTCATCAGTGCATGCCTCAGCTGACAGTTCTGGTGAAAAACATGGTGGTGTCAAACCAAATACCTTCATCCACAGAGGCCAACAGATACCTTTAATCTCATTTTCCAAGACCAAGGCTGCATCTGTGACATGCGTTGAAATTCTCAACACTGACGATGGAGAATATGAGGTATTCTCCAGTTCCAAATTCTCTTCATCAAATGACATGAGGTCAGGAAAAGATCCACTCTGCTGTGGTTTTGGGGTGCTGATTGATCGCTTCACAAGGAGTCGAGTGATGCAGTCCTGCCAACCCACCTGCCCATACAAAATTTATTATATGAGGTCATAAGAAGAAAGAATAATTAGCCTCTTCATCCAGGAATGGTGCATTTAAATCCCCAGCCACAACAGGTGCCAACAGCAGGATTGTTTGTCTGGGGTAGTGGCACTTGAATGGAAAACAATACAAGGCTGGGTCTGGCCCATGTATATGCATGGTCACAATAGTGTGACGCATGGCCAATAAAGATTAAGTATATTAGTTGTGACCTGCTTGAAGGATTATGTTATGAACAACAGCACTCAGATGTCTTATCACTGAATTATATCAATTAAGAGTTGATAATGTTAACCTTATCAACACTGTAATCATAACATGACAAGGAATCCACATTAATTCTGAAAACTAAATGGAGTCTTAGTGAGATGTACACAGATTACAAGGTGTGGAAGTGAAGTAAACACAGAGTACAGTGGAACTCCCACTTGATGTTCCTCAATTTAAGGTTTCTCCCCATCTAACAAACAACTTCAACAATACCAAATATTCAGTATTAAATTTCCTTCCAGGTGCCTAGGCCTAGGTGTTTGGGTTTTAAACGTGGCAGACCGGTCACCTAGATTTAGGCTTTTAGGACACGTTATGTTGCAACACACTATTCCTCACTTTGGTGGCCACGTGTCTGTAAAAGCACTGCGTAGCTGACCTTCGGAATGTTTGTTTTCCGAGTCAGCAACGTGACCACTCTCTATTCCCCTCTCACTCTAAAGAAAAGTCCCTTTGTTCAAGTCGAAGCTTCTATGTGTGAGGCAAGATATTCTCAGTGTCAACATGGCTCAGAGACAAAAGCAGTTGAAGGCTGCGCGAGCTCTCAGAGAAGAAGAAATCTGTGATTTGATCTCTGATGAGTTATCTGACTTGCCAACTGCTTCGTCTTCTGATAGCGAGGACAGTGTCAGTGGCAGTGACAGGGGCCCCCAAAATATTGTGACCAGAAGAGAAAGTGAAAGTGACAGTGAGAGCTCCGATCAAAGTGCGAGGACAGCCACATGGGGTGAAGTGGACAAAACACCCACTTTGGGAAAGTTTACTGGTGATCCAGGGGTGAGACAAATGCCATCGGACCCTACGTAAGTGTCTGAAGCAGCTGAACTGTTTTTTGGAGATAGTTTCTTTGACATGTTGTGTCAGGAGACCAACAGATACTATCTCCAACACCGTGAGGCGTACGACAGTACCTATAAGGTGCTGAAGTGGGTGGATGTCACTTCAGCAGAAATGAAAATTTTTTTGGCAATAATCATTCTAATGGGGTTTACAAAGAGGGATAATTTGAAAGACTATTGGTCCACTGATCCATTTTTAGAAATTCCCATTTTTGGCAAACTCATGAGTCGTAAGAGATTTGAACAGATATGGTGGTGTTTGCATTTCAATAATAATGAACTGCAACCACAATCAATGGGCAGGCTTTTCAAAATTCAGCCCTTATTAGACTTTTTTGTTGAGAAATTTCAGACAGTTTATAAGCCAGAGCAGCAACTGTCTTTGGACGAATCTGTGATTCCTTGGATGGGAAGGCTTCGTTTTAGAACGTATAATCCTGGGAAACTCACAAAGTATGGCCTACTTGTTCGTGTAGTCATGGAAAGCATTTCAGGCTATATTGGAAATATAGAAATTTATTCTGGTGAAGGCAAGATATTGCAAGAAACTATTGTTTCCATTTTGGATCCCTATCTGGATCAAAATTATCACGTTTATCAAGATAATTTTTATAACAGTGTGGCAACTGCAGAATACCTACCTTCAAGGAAAGTACATATTTGTGGTACAATTAGGGTGAACAGAGGCCTTCCTCCAGATCTGAAAGAGGAACGTAAATCCCTGAAACGTGGTGACACCACATTCAGGAGGAAGGGGGACATTCTTCTTCAGTCCTGGAGGGATATTCGCGTTGTGCATATGATTTCCACTATTCACAATTCGAGCATGGTCAATGTTCAAAGACGACACGGGCAAGTGAAGAAGAAGCCTCTTTGTATTTCTCAGTACAATATGTTCATGAAGAGAGTTGATAAGAGCCGACCAATACTTGGCCTATTATTCCCTTCCTAGGAAAACAGTAAAATGGATGAAGAAAGTTGCCTTGTGGCTTAAAAATTGTGCCCTTTTCAATTCATTTTTGGTTTTCAAACAGCTAAACGAAAATTCAACTTTGAAATACAAGGCATTTCTCATGAATGTGGCAAAAGCCTGGGCTACAGACCTCACAGTGGCGGCAGAACCTGCGTCAGACACAGACGTAGTACGACTGGGACCATCTACTCCCACCCCACGGAGGCCTCATATGGACCCGCCTGGGCGACTCTCGGGTGATATGCGGAAACATACCATCGTGAAAATTGTGATGAGCGAACAATCAGCGGGGCAGTATCCTTCTAGGCAATGCCATGTGTGCGCTGTGCACAAGAAGCAAAGCAAGACTTCCTACGTCTGCAAGTTCTGCGTCATGCCTCTTCACAGAGGGGAATGTTTCCAGAAATATCACACTCTGAAGCACTTCTAGGAGCTCTGGGAAGTCTTCTCCAAAAATTTTAGTTCATAAAATTAATTAGGAGATTTTATATTAATTTTTAAAGTGAACAGTGCACAAGTTAGGGTAGTAGGTTTAAAAACGCCAGTCTCCAGGGTGATTTAAATATTTAAATCCCCGGTCCACGAAGTGTTAAGATTGTCTTCAGCCTAGTGTTCAAATCTATTGCTTCCCAAGGTAAGAGTGAAGTTGTCCCAATGCTTAATTAATTAAGCACTATGCCATGAAGATATATGGGGGAGTGGAGGTGTAGTTCCATCATTGTTGATCTTGACACTAGATGGAGGTGTCAGCTTCATGCCCTCATCATTTTACCCTCAGGGCAAGTGCCCACAGTATCCAGTCAATATGATGATGAGTGGGCCCCAGAGCTGATCTGAACATTGGAACAGACAAAAATATGCCCCTACCAGGAATCAAACCCAGGTCAACCAGCACATAGCCCACTGCTATACCAACTGAGCTACACTCATTCCCCACTGTTTCCCAATCAGGCCTTAAATGGGTTTCACTGTATTGAGGAATGTATAAGATGGGCTAAAAACTAAGACCACTGACCTAGATGAGATAGAAAGTGAAGAAAACAAGACGAAGCTACCCCTGTTAACAGGCTGCTGAGGCCCACAGGGTTGTGAGATGTCAAGGCTCCCACATTTTCAAGATAATCGGCTCATAGATGGCAGTGAGGTTGTCAGCCTTACAAAACAGCCGCCCTTTAACCCCAGGAATATTCCTGGTACTCATTTCTGTTAGAGGCTGAGTCAACTGCAGGACCATAGTGCGGGTAGAAGCATTAGGTCACTTGAAAAAATCAATGACCTGATTGGAAACTGAACCTGTGACCATCCTGCTTGTAGCATAGTGCCTGAACCAAAAACACTGCTATGTCCCCCTTGAAACACTATACGAAATCATAAAATTTGAGGTTTTGATGGCAGAGTAAGGAGATTACGGCACCATGCAGTCTTGTAGATGGCTACCAACATTTTGAAGGATCCTGCTGCCTCCACTGGTAGCCACCTGTAAGACTAAACAGAATACTTCACAGTCTTCTATTAAAAGGCAGTACTGTTCCTCTCTTTCCAGAAATATGCATCATCACGATAATAACACCGATAATAATGGCACAATGACATGACATCAGTTTAATGTTGCATGAAGATACTGGGACAGCAGAGACACAAACCCAAATCCCAATGGAAGCAACACAAATATCCATACTTGTCTGGCGAAGTGGTGGGGAGCATTGGCCTTCATGAATGTCGCAGTGAGGATTTTCCGTGCAGCTTCCAGCTTCAGGTCAAGGTCAGCAAGAGACAAGGCATGCAGCAGTGAGAGTGCCCCGGCATAAGCTCCACTGCTATCTGCAATGAGCAGTGAGCGCACACCCTTAGTGAAACCCCTCTCCCACAGATCCATGTCATGAAGAAATGCACAGAAAGACACTGTTTGTTAGGTCTCTGAAGCAGGAAAGAATTTTTAATTTTGAGCATCGGAACTGATGCAATGTTCAAGGCATTGGTAATTCAGAACATAATTTACATAATATAAGTAGGGACCATCTTTGCGGGATGCAATCACAGTTACAAACCTGCGGACAGGATCTGGTCGAGAAGCAGGGCAGTGACCTCCATGGAGAACTGCTGGTCTTGAAGCAAGGCGATCAGCCCAGGGTACATCCCCATGGACTTCCCTCCCAGCACAGATGTATCCTGCAGTCTGAGTCGAGACTTGTCACGCTCATACACACAGTCTGACCGCAGTAACACTGACAACAGCTGAAGGGCAAACATATACAGAACTCTTATATATTTATTACTTATTTATCTAAGATTCAGTGACATTGCCTGTATCTCAGACCATAAGGTGTTGAATGGTGGGGCAATTAATGAATAACGGGTTGTAGTGGGTTTGGAAGCAAGTAGTCATGACCTACTTTGAGATGCTATCCTAGAACCTTCCCAGAGACACTGACAAAACCACAAGGAACCTCTGACACAAAAGAGAAAGCATCCCAGCCAAGATTCAAACTGTCACATTATAACACAAGTCAGTAGCATTAGACCTGAGCCTATTTTCTCAGTTAGAATGTTTATTACCATATTAGCCTGAATATTAGGTGTGATTTTTAATACTTAAGTCTTGGATAAGAGGGGCCATATTATTTTTGGGTGCTTCAGAATAAATATCTGTTAAGCCACTGTGAAATTTTGTCTATAATGTTACTTTAATTTTATATCAACACCTTAATTTTCGTGTTTGGCATCCTGTTATGTGTGTATATCAATGAATGTTATTGCATTTGTTTATTTACACATGCCTGATGGTGGTCATGAGACCGAAACGTGTAGTGTGACACTCGTTTAAGAAATCGATTATATACTGATATGCATGTGCCAATCGGCTGTATATTAAACTCTAATCTCTTAACTAACTGTCATAGCTGCTCACTCACTCACTCACTCATGGAACTGAGCCCTTCTTGAGAAGTTGCCAATTGCGCAGCTACTCAGGAGCTTCCCAGCATTTTATCGAACCCGAAGGTTTATTTCCATGTTCACCAGAGCCCTCCACTGGTCCCTATCCTGAGCCATATCAATCCAATCCATATCATCCCATCCTATCTCTTTAAGGTCCATTTTAATATTGTTCACCCATCCATGTCTTGGTATTCCCAGTGGTCTCCATCCTTCCAGCTTTCCCACCAATATCCTACATGCATTCCTCCTCTCCCCCATTCATGCTACATGCTCTGCCCATCTCATTCTCCTTAACTCTTTGACTGGCGCGAAGGGTATTTAAATCCCACCCCTGTCCTGGCAGGCCCTTTAAACCTTATGTCGCTAAAATGCATGTAGTTACTTTTTCCTAAACAACTTCAACAAAAATTGGTTTTTAAAAACGAAATTTTCAGGAACTAATTAAAATACAATATTTTATGCAATAAATGCCTTTCCATACCTCTTTATTAGTTTTTCTTCGTGTGATAAACATTGAAACATGAAAGTTTGCAGAGAGCCACACCACAGCCTGCACACATGATACTTCTTTCTTTTCTAATCTTGTGCTTAGCACTCATGCGACATTTTCTCAGGGCACCATTCTTCTTGTTACTGGGAGGAACATGGACCATTCTGTGAATTTTCAAGCCACCCTCTAGACGATTTACTGGCTCTTTCACTGGTGGTCTTTTCAAGGTCGAGGGCGGAGGCGTGACTGCACTCGAGTCTGACGCAATAGATTCGTCATCCACTTCATTCCTTGACTCTTCTCCCT